TTATAATAGCATGTTGCAATGCGAGATATATATTCATAAGTTTTATGAACATTATCAGAGAGAAATCACTGACATTATTATATTTTTGATTATATAGTTGTGAAGTAAAACTTGTAAATTCCTACGATTTTATCAAAAATGTAATAATGTCGGTAATTTCTCTCTGATAATGTTCATAAAACTTATGAATATATATCTCGCATTGCAACATGCTATTATAATATTACACGTGATTTAATGTGTTGAATAGCTTGAAATTTATGAAACACGAATACCGAAAATAAATTAAAGTTATAATTATATAGTTATAATTATAGCTTAAATTTATTTTCGGTATTCGTGTTTCACAAATTTCAAGCTATTCAACACATTGAATTCAACTTACGAGTTGAAACCGAGAGATGTTGAACGGCGTTTGTTTGCTTGTGAACAGTTGCTTGAAAGGCAAAGACGGAAGGGGTTTCTGCATCGCATTGTGACTGGGGACGAAAAATGGGTTCATTACGATAACCCCAAGCGCAGAAAATCATGGGGATATCCCGGGCATGCTTCCACGTCGACGGCCAAACCGAATATTCACGGTTCCAAGGTCATGCTCTGTATTTGGTGGGGCCAGCTCGGCGTAGTGTGTTATGAGCTGTTAAAACCGACTGAAACAATCACAGGCGATCGTTATCGAACGCAATTAATGCGTTTGAGCCGAGCATTAAAAGACAATCGGCCGCAATACAACGAGAGACACGATAAAGTGATTTTGCAGCATGACAATGCTCGACCCCATGTTGCGAAAGTGGTCAAGACATACTTGGAAACGTTGAAATGGGAAGTCCTACCCCACCCGCCGTATTCTCCAGACGTTGCTCTCTCTGACTATCACTTGTTTCGATCAATGGCACACGGCCTGGTTGACCAGCACTTCTGGTCTTATGAAGAAGTAAGAAATTGGATCGATCCGTGGGTCGCTTTAAAAGATGACCAGTTTTTTCAACGCGGGATTCGTACGCTTCCCGAAAGATGGGAGAAAGTAGTGGCCAGCGATGGACAATACTTTGAATCATAAATGTATAACCAGTTTTTTACAATAAAGCCTCGAATTTCGGAAAAAAAACGGCGGAAGCAAAGTTGTACACCTAATACTTGGCGTCGCGGCGCTATCGCGTCGCTTGATATGTGTTAATCGTTAAGTGCTGATGACGTCGAATAAAACTGTTAGATAATTAGCAAGTATTGAGGACACAAAAGGATCAAGAGCGATTTTCTTTAAAGAATTTATTCCGAGACGAATTTTGCTGAGCTACTGTTACATAGGTAGATACAATAGACCGGATCTGTTTTTGTCTTCGGGTTAGAGTGTCCGTGTGTGTTGGTGTTTGAAAAAAGGATAAACATATCCGGAGACGGGCAAGTTTGTTGAACCGATTGCATTTTGATAAATCGGAGACACCGCGAAAATTATAGAGAGATATTTAATACGATTAATTTTAAAAACGATTGCTCAAGAGAGGATGGAAAATTCTCAAAGTGCAAATCTTGAATTAATTTTCACAAATGAATTAAATTATTATGAAATTACTTTGAACATACACGTATACTGCACGAGTTGGCGAAACGGATTCAAGTTTTAATTATGATAATGTCAATGTTCACATGAATCTGGAAGAACACACAATTTGACGATCGATCGTTTCAAAGTAGAGGTTTGAATCTTTACTGTCGCGACACGAACTAGACCGTCAGCACCGGAATGGACGTTATTACTCGCACCAAGAACCATTTTGATGGTGGAAATCTCTTATCCTTCACAAGGACAAGCGCTCCGACTTTCAGGGATGGCTGCTGCTTAAACCAGTTAGTCGAGGTTTGGAGATGATGCAGATATTCGGATGACCATCTAGTCCAGAATGTTTCTATCATTTGTTGAAACAACTGTCAGCGGGATAGTCGTCCTTTAGGAATATCTTGCAGAAATGGTTCCGGGATAGAATTGAGCGCGGTCCCGATTAAAAAGTGACCTAGAGTTAAAGCCGTGAGGTCTAACGGGTCATCCGAGAGAGCGCCGAGGAGTCGCGAATTGAGAACTGCTTCGATTTGTGTTAAAAGCGTAGAGAGCTCTTTGTACGTTAGGACTGCATCGCCGATAAGATATTCGTCGCAGGTGGAACTTTACGGATTTGACTTCGACTTCCCATTTGCCGCCGAAGTGCGGTGCGGAGAGTGGATTAAATTTCCACTTAACACAGTCATTGGCGAGAATATGGGCAATGCGATGCCATTCGCGAGTGCTCGCCTTGAAGAATCTCTCCAATTCCTGATCCGCTCCAACAACATTGGTTCCGCAATCGCTTGTGATGGTAGAACATAGATCCCGGCGTCCGGTGAATCTTTTGTATGCTGCTATGAATCCATCCGTAGAATAATCGACCCGAGCAAGT